CTCTCTCTCTCTCTCTCTCTCTCTCTCTCTCTCTCTCTCTCTCTCTCTCTCTCTCTCTCTCTCTCTCTCTCTCTCTCTCTCTCTCTCTCTCGCCTTCGTTCGTAACCCGAGGCACTGTTCGGTCCCCGAGATAACTTTTTCGAAAAAAAAAACTGTAGATCTTTAAGCAGCGCTTTTTAAATTTTTAACCGCGGCCGTAAGGCGTGCCATGGCCAAGTTATCTCAATGGATATTTTTAAACATAAAGTAAATGAGAGTTCCGGCACCATTAGGCTGTATGTACATCTATGGCAGAAGGTTGTGTGTACACCTACGACAGAAGGTTGTATGTACACGTATGGCAGAAGGTTGTGTGTACACATGTGATTGAAGATGGTCTTTATACATGTGAGTGAAGATTGTTTTTCAAGGCCAAGGAATGATGAGTGAATGCTTTCCTGTTGTGAACTCTATGAAACGAGATTCAAGGTCAATGTGTGGACTTGTCTTTCATTATTACCTTTTCGCCAACCCAAGACTGCATCTACCAGCCAAGCATATCAATATAATCCTAGCAGTTGTCGCTGTGCACATAAGTGGTGGTTATGGATGCCCATCAAATTCTGGTATGTGCACAAATAAGTCCATTTTTGCCATACAAAATATTGACATATGACAACTTAATCATGACTGATTTAATTAAAATTTGCAAAAATATATCGATCCTTTCATTTCGGTAAAATGCAAATCTTACTTTGATTAGGAAGGTTAGACGCCCCGTCGGTCATAACAATAATGATTTTAGTTGCACCCTGCCGGCCCCCAGCCGCGGCCCCAAACATGTCGTTAAGTCGTATGTATTGTAGAGCGCTGGCCGTGTCAGTACCATCACCATCGTAGAATGTTCGCAGGAAAACCTATTCGTTGGAGTAATATGAAGTAGAGATCTTATAAGAGCTGAAGCAAAGTTTAAAAATGTAGCCATTACTTTTGGAGTAACATACAGTTAGTGGCGATATTGATAACCCTCACTCTCCCTCCTCTCTCTCTCTCGATCTATTTCTCTATCGCTCTCTCTCTCTCACACACACTCTTTCTTTCTCTCTCTCTCTCTCTCTCTCTCACACACACACATACCCTTATAAGTTTTATACCCCAATTAAATAATTTGGCAATTTATTGCACTTATCATTTAAGTACATTTTTTAAATTATTTAATTATAATCTACTAACAAAAATGCCCCACGTTTCTCGGGTTTGCAATGCAAAAAGAATCTTCTAAAACTTTATCAGCCTACACTTAAATTTAGGATTTGGTTAAAAACACTTCGTTGAAGTCCAAATCACATTTTTTTTTTTATAATTTCCAAAATTATTCCAGTTTATAAAAACTCTTGTAAACATTGGAATGTGTGCCCAGCCCCTTGTCAGTTAATATTCAAGCTGGGAAAAGTAGAAATAAAATAATAATAATAATAATAATTAAAATAAAGTCCAATCATTTTTTTTTAAAATGTCACATTTAAAAAAAATGTATTAACCAATGCACAATATATGGCAGTTTATCAATTAAAATAAAATGTGATCTCCCGAGGGAAACCCATTCCAAAAAGCGTCGATTTAGTTATACCTAAGATATGGGGGCCTGTTCCATTTATTAATTGAAATATTCAATTTAATTTTTTTTTTTTTTTAAATTTACCCAAGTTAAGATCGGATGGAATTAGGCAAAAATGGTGGCTTTTACATTTTAAACCTCTGGGGCTCCGTCACCAAAATGACTTATTCTCTTATATCTTACAGCAGAGTATTTAACGTTGAATATTAAACAAATATTCTTTTAAAAGTTTTTTCATTAAAACTGGCCCAAAGAAATAGCCTTTTATTTACAATCGAATGATGTTTTGTTTAAAGGTGTTATGGGGGCATGTCTACCCAGTTTGCTCTAGATGCAAAAATTTACGTAGATGTTAGCATTGTAAACTGAGCAATCGTGTATAATGAATTGCTTTGCTTTTATAAGAAAAATGCTTGTTTGTTGTTGTTGTTTTTTTTTGTTGTTTTTTTTTTTGGGGGGGGGGGGGTTTTCCTACGTTTAAAAGGGAATTTTTTTCAAAATAAAAAAAAAAGG